TCCTGTCTCCTCCTGTCTTCACCTGTCTCCTCCTGTCTCCTGTCTCCTTCTCCTGTCTCCTGTCTCCTCCTGTCTCCTCCTGTCTCCTGCTGTCTCCTACTGTCTCCTGTCTCCTGTCTCCTCCTGTCTCCTCCTGTCTCCTCCTGTCATCTCCTGTCTCCACCTGTCTCCACCTGTCTCCTCCTGTCTCCTCCTGTCTCCACCTGTCTTCTGTCTCCACCTGTCTCCTCCTGTCTCCTCCTGTCTCCTTCTCTCTCGTCCTGTCTCCTCCTGTCATCTCCTGTCTCCACCTGTCTCCTGTCTCCTGTTTCCTCCTGTCTCCTGTTTCCTCCTGTCTCCACCTCTCTCGTCCTGTCTCCTCCTGTCTCCTCCTGTCATCTCCTGTCTCCACCTGTCTGTCTCCTCCTGTCATCTCCTGTCTCCACCTGTCTCCTCCTGTCTCCACCTGTCTCCACCTGTCTGTCTCCTCCTGTCATCTCCTGTCTCCACCTGTCTCCACCTGTCTCTTCCTGTCTCCTCCTGTCGTCTCCTGTCTCCTCCTGTCTCCTGTTAGCCATCAGCACACCTGCTCTCACTCCCTGGTTTAACCCTCCTGCTGCCTTTGGGTCAAAGCAGGTCAGAACTTTACACTTCCTGTTTCCTGTCATTAAGCCTCTCAGGTTCTGACCCTCCTCAGAACTTCTCTGAACAGAACCTGGATCTTTAACTGTTTACTGTCCCTCTGAGCTGGACCGGACCGGACCGGACCGGACCGGACCACAGCATACCCTCCAGGTACAGAATGTCACGGTTCAGTTCATGTTTCTGCTTCAGGGCCCGGTTCTGCTGATGTCAGGAGAAGACTGGACCATAATGAGACCCGCAGACTGTCAGCAGAACCGATCCGACCCACAAACAACAAGAACCAGGAGAGGTTTACCTGTCGCAGACCACAGCAGAGTACCCGGGTTCTGCCAGAACCACCTCCCCGGTGTGCAGGTCCCTGGTGGCTCTCAGACCTCGACCCGTCTTCTCTCCATCAAACAGCTCTGCGTTCCCCCCGGTCATGGTTCTGACCCAGTTCAAGTCCAGGAGCTGAAGTTGAGACCGGCTTCTCCTGGGTCCGACCCGAGCTGAAACCAAAAATAATCTGACCCCCCAGGTCCAAAACCCCTTCCAGAGCAGGACGGGCTGCGGTGCTGAGGCAGGAGGAACCTTGTTTGGGTCGGTTCCCCCCCTCGGGGGTATTTTGGTCCCTGCAGCTGTGGCCGTCAGTCAGAGGCAGATGACAGGAACCAGATCTTTAGAACCCTCTGAGGTTCTACACTCAGACTCTTCAGTTTGGGTCAGACCGGTCCAAGGTTCTGCTCAGAACCTGGTGCAGCTCGGTGACCTTTGACCTCTGATGACCTCTCTTCCTTCAGCTGAAATAAAAATGTTTTTATGAAAGTGACCCGGCTGCAGCCGAACCGGGTCAGAACCTCTGATTTCAGTCAAAGCTCCTGTTGGATGAAAGAAGCTGAGATCTGTTTGTGTCACAAACTTTATTAAACACATTTATTTCACAGAAACAGCTTCAAAAACAAACAATCATTCAAACTACAGAACAATTACAGTTATTTATCTTCAATGTTACTTCAAGGCACGTTTATAAATTAATCCAGATTATTACAAACAAAACAACTAATCCAGATTAAACATCAGATTATATAAATGTTGGTTCTTTTCAGCTCACTGAAACAAAACATCTTTAATCTGAGTAAACAAAAACAAATGTTTGTTTATTTTCTGATCAAATCAAACTGAACAATAATTCTTTTATCATGTTTCACTTTGATCTTTTCCTTTAGTTTGGTTCAATCGGTTGGACTACAAGTTCTGTTTGGATGGTAGTTTATTTTGGTAGTTTAGGTTTGGTTCTTTGGGTTGGTAGTTTGGTTGGTAGTTTATTCCAGTACTTTAGTTGGTAGTTTATTTTAGTATTTTAGTTGGTACTTTAGGTTGGTAGTTTAGATTGGTAGTTTGGTTGGTAGTTTAGGTTTGGTAGTTTAGGTTTGGTTCTTTAGGTTGGTAGTTTATTCCAGTACTTTAGTTGGTAGTTTATGTTGGTATTTTAGTTGGTACTTTAGTTTGGTAGTTTAATTGGTAGTTTAGTTTGGTAGTTTAGGTTTGGTTCTTTAGGTTGGTAGTTTATTCCAGTACTTTAGTTGGTAGTTTATGTTGGTATTTTAGTTGGTACTTTAGTTTGGTAATTTAATTGGTAGTTTATTTTGGTTGTTTAGTTGGTAATTTAGTTTGGTAGTTTATTTTGGTCGTTTAGTTTGGTAGTTTATTTTGGTAGTTTAGGTTTGGTTCTTTAGGTTGGTAGTTTGGTTGGTAGTTTAAGTTTGGTTCTTTAGGTTTGGTTCTTTAGGTTGGTAGGTTAGGTTGGTAGTTTATTCCAGTACTTTAGTTGGTAGTTTATGTTGGTATTTTAGTTGGTACTTTAGTTTGGTAGTTTAATTGGTAGTTTAGTTTGGTAGTTTAGGTTGGTAGTTTAGGTTTGGTTCTTTAGGTTGGTAGTTTAGGTTGGTAGTTTATTCGAGTACTTTAGTTGGTAGTTTGTTGGTATTTTAGTTGGTACTTTAGTTTGGTCATTTAATTGGTAGTTTATTTTGGTCATTTAGTTGGTAATTTAGTTTGGTAGTTTATTTTGGTAGTTTAGTTTGGTAGTTTAGGTTTGGTAGTTTAGTTTGGTAGTTTAGGTTTGGTTCTTTAGGTTGGTAGTTTAGGTTGGTAGTTTATTCCAGTACTTTAGTTGGTAGTTTATTTTAGTATTTTAGTTGGTACTTTAGGTTGGTAGTTTAGGGTGGTAGTTTAGGTTGGTAATTTGGTTGGAAGTTTAGGTTGGTAGTTTATTCCAGTACTTTATTTGGTAGTTTATTTTAGTATTTTAGTTGGTACTTTAGGTTGGTAGTTTAGGGTGGTAGTTTAGTTTGGTAGTTTAATTGGTAGTTTAGTTTGGTAGTTAAAGTTGGTAGTTTGGTTGGTAGTTTAGGTTTGGTTCTTTAGGTTGGTAGTTTAGGTTGGTAGTTTATTCCGGTATTTTAGTTGGTACTTTAG